CGGAATAACTATGGTAGCTAGAAGATCCTCACTTTGAATTCTGACTTTGACAGAATTTTAAGATCCTTAAACAAATCAACTATGGTCTTACAAAGGTTGCCTGCTGTCGACAGGAGGAAGGAAAGGCCTGCTTTAATGACACTGGGTAAACTAGGAGACCGGTTACACTCTCATTTGCTACTTGAACAGAGAAGTGCATCTGCTGGCCTGGAGACCCCAGAGAGGAGCCTCTCATCTCTAACAAGAACAACTTGGAAACTTTAGCTACGTGTTTAATTTTGGTTTTCCCTGCCTAGCAAACATAGTCTTTTTGGTTTAACTACCCCCATCTCCTATATCCTCAGTACTTATCCTTTTTTCTTCCCTGTAGCCTGCCTTTATGTATTTATACAACATGATTAGCTCTGCTAAAGCCCTGCCCTTAGGTCATTTATTCCCTGCCCTCCTGCAACCACAACCTTCATCAATCAAGCCAGCCTACAAGACATCCTGAAGTAGGAATTCCCGCTTAACTTTGAAATATAAGCAATATTGGTGCCTAACAGCCAGCTTCGCAATGTATTCCATCGGATCCCTCTCCTCAGATGAAATCACCACGGCCTTAGCTAAGCTGTCTGTACCCCCACCCAAGAGCTGAAGAAGTGAGAACTACACCCACTCAAGGGAATTCCCGTGATGTTGAGTGGGAAAAATCTACAGGGGACTGTTTTCTTTACAGCAAGGAAGGAAAGAGTGTCAGGTTTCAGTCTCTTGAAAGAAAATGATGATGTTGATTTTCTCCTATTATTTTCACTGCTTAAAATTCTCATGGTGCCAGTGATTACAATACATGCTATGAAGTCTGGCTTCAGCAGTGCGGCCTCTCCTGCTTCATGGTTACAATTTACAGTAAGTAAACCCAGGGGCTGACATGGTGATGTTGAGACAGCCACCTGCCTCCCAGCTCAGCCAGCCTCTTTTCTCCCGCATATACCAGGGGCTCCTGGCTCTTCCTCCCCTGCTTCTCCATGTTGAGCACTCCATTCCCTTGGCAGCTATCTGGGTTGTTCTGATATCCAGGGATTCGCCAGCCTGATGTAAGCCCGTCTTGCTTGGAAGAATTCTGGAGCAGACACCAGGAATGAAATGCCGGTTTCCATGGTACCCAGCCGTTTCTCTGAAGCCTGGAGGAAATGAGTGCTTTTTTCAAATTCATTCCTGTTTAACATTTCGCTCAGCGGCAGAACACGTGGAAACCTTAGGGTGAAGCCAAGGGTGACTTTGGATGAAGCACATGTGGGTCAGAGGGCAGAGGCCCCCTGACCAGCTGGTGCTCAGCAGATCTGAGACCCAGCTATCAGGATCACCCTTGGTGGTCTCTGGGCTATCACAGTGCCTCGCCGCCAAACAGAACCAACAGGGCACAGAGAAAAGAGCTGCTTACCTATGGCTTGCTTTCACAAATCTGATGGGGAAGAAGCTGAGTCAGTTCTAAAACCCACAACAGGAGGTCCCTCAAGTGCAACTCATCGTGAGGACTGAGTGTTGACCACAGGACAGAGCACCAGGCAGGTCCTGCCCCTGGAACACCACCTTGCCCCATGACAGCAGCGGCTGAAGCCGCCTTCAGTAGGCTGCCTGCCTTGAGGTGCTTCCCTTCCTTCCAGGAGATTTAATAGAGCTGCGAAAATGGACTTGAACTGACTTCATTTCAACTTCACTACCTTGGCAGGCTGGACATGGAGGGAGGACTGGAACGTGAGCACCACCTAGTGGTCATTGGGGGGAACTGTGGGTGCAACCTCTGGTCTAGAAAGAAATGATTTTAAGTTTTCTTCTACACTGGTAATACTGATCTAAGGGATGGGGGATGTTGCTTTGATTTCTTTTACTCTCAGCCAGTAGAGCATAAACTACAGAGGGGTATACAACAGGTATATTAAGTGTATTGAATAACATGAAATCTTTAAGGAATAACAAATTCATTCCTAACCTTCAGCAAACTCGAGTGAAAGGAACCTCATCCTTGTTGTTTGAAGAGTTTTCCGAGAGAGCGATTCAAACGCTCCATCAAGATGGTCCAGCAAGGTACCCTCCCGATGGAACGTTCTGCAAACAGTACCAGTCCTCATTTCCAGTCTTCCAAAGAGGCGATGACCAGCTGTTTGTTCTCCAAATAACAGCACGGAATGCTCACAGGCAGTCCATAGCTCATCTCCACCTCCTTTCTCACGATGGGGAAGCCCTGCTTCTGTTTAGAGTGTTTTTAGAGACAGGGTCTTGCTGTCTCTCCAAGGCTGGAATGCAGTGGTCGGATCATAGCTCACTGCAGCCTCAAACGCCTGGTTCAAGTGATTCTCCCACTTTGATCTCCCAAGGTGCTAGGATTACAGGCATGAGCCACTGTGACAAGCCAATTTAGATTTTCTAGTCCCTTTTGTTCATTTCGTTGTTCCTTTCTGAGTCCTCTCATTCCTCGGCACAATCCTCTTAAAGGAGAGGGATAAACCAGAATGATGTTTGCCGTCAACCACAGGGTAAAGAAGACCTGGCTTTGTGGAGGCCTCCTCCTCCTCCTCCTCCTCCTCCTCCTCCTCCTCCTCCTCCTCCTCTTCCTCCTCCTTCTCCTCCTCCTCCTTATCCTTCTCCTCCTCTACCCTTATGCATTCTGAGTGATGGGGCATCTTCACACCAGGCAGAGATCAAAGGGGAAACTGTATCAGTTATTTGCATGTTTCCAGATCTCCACCATTAGTTAGTACTTGTAGTGAGGTCACCTGCATTTCTCTCTCCCTGTCTGCCTCCCTGAACCATATCCCCAACCACAGCTCCCCAAGCCACAACCATTCTCTTGAGTCCAGGGTCATGAAGCTCTGGCCCTAATAGCATATTTTGTCCAATCTCACCCGGATTTGCCCACTGTTTCTGTTTCTCTGATTATTGTGTGCCTATTTGGGGTCCCTCATACAATTAAGCCCAATCTCATTTTTTCCTTGCTATGATCATTGAAATGATGAGTAGCTAAAGTCCTATGAATCTCGGGGCTGACTGCTAGCAGACAGGAAGTTCGCTTTCTTCCAGCGTGAGTGATCTCCAAGCTTTTCCTTTGCAGAATCTGTGCCCCAGCTATGGAGGATCACACAGAATCAGGGCTTTCTGAAAGCTGCTTTCATATTCTACGGTATTGCCTGCCTTCCCTGATAGAAGAAAATTAAATTGGCCTGGTCTAATAAACTCTTTCTCAATATCTTCTGTTCTCTTAAGTGGCTACAAATTGATTGTTCCAGCCTGCTGCAAGGACTGATATTGAATTAACTTCAATTAATAGAAAATGTTTTCTATCTTAAATAATTTGATCTGCTCCATGATTTTTTGACAACAATCTTTTTTCATAAAAAGAAAGGGGGTTATACCAAAGAGCTGTCAGTGCCTTCTAGGAGATGGCTTCCGTGCCATTCAACGTGGATTATGAGATTGTTGCCTATATTTCTTTAATTCTCTGCCCATTCTAGTTTGACGTTGTCATCCCAATGTCAACTTGTTGAATCTGATAACAAAGATGAAAGTAACAAGAATGATGAAGCCCACGTTTCCAATGGCTTGTTAGGAAGAATGAGTTACAAATGACCACAGCTCCTTCCTCCTCACCCTCATTTTGACCTTCGAGATAATTGGAAAGAGTTCCTTTTATGCGCTTTGTGACCTGTGCCCTAAGGTGTTCTCTACGTCTCTACCCAGCTGGTGGTTCCTGCCCTGGCTGAGGGCTGATGCCATGCCCACTTTGTTAACTGAGTTTCCCATCTCCAAGCTGTGATGGCGGTTGATACCCAGAGTGTCCTGCAAGTGTCTGCTTTAGTCTGCAGAGGGCTGCTGCCTCTAAAGGAAAGGCCACTCTGAGACGACCATACTCATCAAAGCAGTCGTCCTTCGGGAGTGTGGGAAGAAAGAGCTACGAACCATGTCCTCAGCCTCCTGCTTCTATGAAATACGGGTGTACTCGTTCGGTTTCGGCAACATGTCATTAGCCATGTGTGTCCTGAAAAGGACACCAGATTCACAGCTGGGGCTGAGTTTTCGAGCCAATTCTGCAGCAGATGGAGCAACCCCAGGAAAATTACTTATGTTCTCTGTGACTCGGTTTCCCTGTATAATCAAAGAATTACACTAGATTCCCCCACCTCCACCCCACAAGGTGGGAAATGATTTTAGATGGTATGTAGACCGAGACTTAAGTAGATTAAATCCTGCCGTGTATTCTCTCTGTATTCTCTTTCAAGTCCCAACTGATGAGTAAACCTCAGTGGGATGCTAGTGTGCCTTTGACTGCTTCTGACCCCTAATAATCTTCCTTACTGAAAGGGCAGACCATGCCCAGGGCTTGGGCAGCCAACAGTGTCCAACTGGGATTTGCAAACTCCATTTGTTGTTATTGCACTTATTTTTCAGGGTGATGGCAAGGGGCGTTGATCCCCTGCTTCTGGTTGTGATGTGAAGTTTCCTTTGAAAATAAATTATTTTAAGGAAACCAAAAAAAATCTATTAAAAGAAACAATTGAGCCCGTAGAAGTCCAAGCACTTGCATAAAAACTGAAGATGCACAGACATGCAGAAATCTTACAGAGACTAATATTTGGAAGTACCTGCTGAGCCCCTACATCCCCTTGCAGATCTAAGATTCTACAATGAGCCTTGCTTTACAGAGCAGGTTAGTCACACTTGCCTGTCACTCTGATGTTGTACAGAAATTGCAGGAAGAAGGGAATGACCTGAGGCTGCTCCTTTCCACACATGCCCACCCTGATCTGCCAACACCTCCTTCCACTAACACTGGCCAAAGGCAAAACCAGTACAGAAGGGAGTTTACTCACAGGGACTCCAAGTCTCAGGACAACCCAGTCCTGATTATACCATGCCAGGAACAAGGTGGACACTGTGTGCAGCCTTAAAGAGTATGGGGGGTGTGTGTGTGTGTGTGTGTGTGTATGTGTGTCTAATCTTCTATTCTTTTTATTTTTTCACAGTTCATTTATGATGAAAAAGTTTCCTGGTAAGTACCTCTTTTTCCCCCTTCTCATTTCCGAATGTTGTGTTGTAGAGCCAAATATGTTGAAGACCAGAGTTAGGATTCAAGAAAGAAAGGGAAATGTCATGACAGCTTATAATGAGGAGAATTTCCTGGGAACCCTCTGCGCACCCCAGGAGAGAAATTAAATTCATTTTCACAGAGTAAAGACCTTTTCTCTTGGGCTGGAGTGACAGGGTTCCATTTGAGATCCTAATATCTAAATGTCTTTATCATCCTATGTCTGGACATCATGGCTTAGCTGTGTCTTTCTACAGTCAGCCATGTGCTAGGGCAGAGTGAAGATCTGACTGATCTTTTGACCGGGTGCAGTGGCTCATGCCCCTAATCCCAGCACTTTGAGAGGCCCAGGCGGGTGGATCATGAGGTCAGGAGATCGAGATCATCCTGGCTAACAAGGTGAAACCAAAAATACAAAAAATTAGCCAGATGCACTGGTGGGTACCTGTAGCCCCAGCTGCTCAAGAGGCTGAGGCAGGAGAATGGCTTGAATCTGGGAGGCGGAGCTTGCAGTGAGCCGAGATCGCGCCACTGCACTCCAGCCTGGGCGACAGAACGAGACTGCGTCGAAAGAGAGAAGGAAAGAAAGAGAGAAAGAAAGAGAGAAAGGGAAGAAAGGGAAGAAAGGGAAGAAAGGGAAGAAAGGAAGAAAGGGAGAAAGAGAGAAAGAGAGAAAGAGAGGAAAGAAAGAAAGAAAGAAGGAAAGAAAGAAGGAAGGAAGGAAGGAAGGAAGGAAGGAAGGAAGGAAGGAAGGAAGGAAGGAAGGAAGGAAGGAAGGAAGGAAGGGAAGGAAGGAAGGAAGGAAGAAGGAAGGAAGGAAGAAAGAAAGAAAGAAAGAAAGAAAGAAAGAAAGAAAAGAAAAAGAAAAGAAAGAAAGAAAGAAAGAAAGAAAGAAAGAAAGAAAGAAAGAAAGAAAGAAGGGAAAGGCCTGGCCGCGGTGGCTCACGCCTGTAATCCCAACACTTTGGAGGCGAGGGCAGGCAGATCACAAGGTCAGGAGATCGAGACCTTCCTGGCTTACACGGCGAAAGCCTGTAATCCCAACACTTTGGGAGGCCGAGGCAGGCAGATCACAAGGTCAGGAGATCGAGACCTTCCTGGCTTACACGGCGAAACCCCATCTCTACTAAAAATACAAGAAAAATTAGCCGGGCAAGGTAGCGGGCGCCTGTGGTCCCAGCTACTCTGGAGGCTGAGGCAGGAGAATGGCGTGAACCGGGGAGGTGGAGCTTGCAGTAGCCGAGATTGCGCCACTGCACTCCAGCCTGGGCAACAGAGCAAGACTCCATCTCAAAAAAAAAAAAAGATTTGACTGATCTTTTAAAATTGTGTCCAAATCAAGCTCCATGCTTCCAATCCCATGTTTATTTTAAGAATTAGGACCCAGGCACTTCAGTGACCATTAACCCATTAAAATTCCTCCTGACTTTCAAAAGATCTTAGAGCTCTGAAAATTGGTGGTGTTGGGGATTTTTTATTTTGATAGACAGAAACTGTTGCCCAAATTAAATATATGGGAAGACATTTTCATTTGGGCCAACTATTCAAATCCTCGTTTTTTAGATGGGTTCTGAGCAAGTCGAACATGTTTGAAATGGAAATGGAAGTTGAGTGTATTGTGCATTTTCGTTGCATATTTTCTAATATTTGATGTACAGAGGTAAGCAATGTGAAATAACATCTTAGGAATACGCGTAGGTAGAAAATTTCCCTATTATTGAAAGCTAGGAGTGAGCCAGAAAAAGTAGAGTCCACCAGGCTTCACTTTCTGCAAAATGACTGCTAACTCTTTTGCTGGAGTGGGCCTCTCTGTGTCTGAGGACGTCTCTGATTTTCAGGATTAGGAGGAGGTGGAGAACCCATCACATTGATGATACATGTTACGTGCTATGTCAGGGTATTAAGATACTTTTGCTAACTCTCTCTCCTCTGTGCAAGAAGGAAGAGGAGAGACAGCTAGGAGAAAATAAGAAGGAGATCTTTGAATGATCATGACCAATAGGCTGCAAGGAATTGACCTCCCCAGGAGCACCCCAAATCAGAGAGCCTCCTTGTTATATCATCCTGGAGGTGCCCGCCAAATGCAGTGTGGAGTATTTTTCCCCCATGTCCTTGGGGATAAAGCGCCGCACAAGAAAACTTCCAGAAGCCGATAGCATAGTTAGCACAACCACTGCTCCGCCTTAGGAAACAGTAGGTGCTTCAGCATTGCTCAGTGTTGCTAGTCTTTGCTAATGACACTCCCCAAAAGACAAACAAGTTGTGATCACAGTTGATCTCAGAAATGCGTGTGCTGCTGTTGTGCAGAAACATGTTAGGAAAGGCTACCCAGGATGATTTGCTGTCAGCCTTGGAGGGAGCCGTCTTTTCTACTACCTCCGTGGTATTGCTGTATGAAAGCCATGGCAAGTGAAGAAAGCAGGCTTCACCATCAGCCCATTTCACTCCGTATCCTCAAAACATCTCGGGATAGTTCAGATGGTTTGGAGCAAGGAAAGGAGTGTCTATTTCATCTTCATTCCTAAGACTTTTCCAATGATGTTAGGTAACTCCATCCTAGGGTAGGTGCCCAAGCCTGCAGCAGAAGGGTCTAGATTCTGGAAGGCACAAGTCATCAGAGCCCTTGCCCTGAGCATTGATGCTCCCTCGCATCCAGTTAGGAGTGAGAGGCTGGGAGGGCCATGGATACATGAGTGGCAAATCCCCAGGAGTGTCTTGATCTATCTGGGGGATGTTGGAATCATAAGTCATGCACAGTTGTGGATTCCAGGGAAGAACTGGCCTGGGAGGCCTTGGTGGCACCAGAACTCCATTCTTCCCAGAGCGCTGGCCTGTCGTGTAACTTGTTATTACACGCATGGTCTGATGAAGAGCATTTTGCACATAAGTGAGGCTGAGAAATTAAAGTCTGTGCCACTGGCCCTTATCTACCTTGGGACTCCCAGGGATTTCAACTTCTCATTTAGTAGATGAAAAATATATGGAAGTTTAAGAATTTTTTACTGTTCAGTTCTTCTATCTTCTTACCAAGCCAATCATGACCATTCATTTTGCTGAAATGGTGCATCTAGGTGCTGATTTCTCTCTTTAAAATCAGAGTCTTCAGTCTGTACAATTAAAGCACAGTAACATTTTGAAAATACCTTTAACAGAGAGTTCCATTCCTTGTTATAAAACATTCCAGCATGGCCTAGAGATTTCAAGGCAGGTAACCAGTTCAATCCCCAAAATCCTCAAAAGGAAACAAATTTCAATTGTGTTTATTTTGAAACTACAGTACTCTTTAAGAGGAAGTGAGCTTTGTTAAATACAAATATACCAGGACAAAGGACCCCTGTCATACAGCTCATATTCTTTCACCATTCCTGAAGCAGCCTTCTGCAGGAAGTCACATTCAGTCAAAAAATGGCAGTTGACAGTTAGTCAGGAATGATTTTAGTATCAGGTACTAGAAGAACCAGCTACAGCATATTGAAAACATAGTGGTGTATTTTTCTTACGTATCAGTGCCCCGGATGTACATGGTGCCGTGGCTCTGCATTTCCCCTGACCTTTGCTTAATGGTCCCAAGATGGCTGCTGCAGTCGCAGCCACCAAGTTCATCCTGAAGGCAGGAGGGAGGAAGAAGGGGGCACTGTTGTTCTTTTGGGCACACTTCCACCTTGCATCTCTTTGGTGACTGCAGGGTCTGCCTTGACCACTAAGCAGCCAGGGAGATTAGAATGACCACTTTAGACCAACCATGATTCATCCTCAGGGCCTAGGGGCAAGGCACACCCTCTTTGAGATCAGAAGGGCTCCATATGCTGCCTCGAACTGGTGGTTGGTGTTCCCTTAGCAGGGAAGAGGCAGGGGAATAGTGGTGAGTACTTTTCGGTTAGGTGCCTATGCGCTAAAAGACATTGAAATAGGAAGCATCAGCTGGGCTGGGCATGGTGGCTCAAGCCTGTAATCCCAGCTCTTTGGGAGGCTGAGGCAGGCAGATCACTTGAGGTTGGGAATTTGAGACCAGTCTGGCCAATATGGTGAAAACCCGTCTCTACTAAAAATACAAAAATTAGGCAGGTGTGGTGATGCATGCCTGTAGTCCCAGCTGCTCGGGAGGCTGAGGCTGGAGAATAGCTTGAACCCTGGAGGCGGAGGTTGCTGTGAGCCAAGATTGTGTCACTGCACTCCAGCCTGGGCGACAGAGCGAGACTCCGTCTCAAAAAAAAGAAAAAAAAAATGTCAGAGGCCCAGCTATTAGGATGTACGCTCGACTCACAGAGCAAGGCCCATAATGTTGCTGGAAGGAATTTGGAATGTGCCTCCAGGGAGTCTGAAGACCCAACAAGAAAACTAAAGAATGCAGGGCGATGGTTTGGTTTCTTCTTTTGAGTCCAAAGCTGTGACTTTGGGAGAGAAAAGAGACCGTGGGATTGCAACCTGGAAACTCTTCCCGGTGGGGCTGGAGAACAGCTTTTGCTGTTCAGGGGTATGCTCAGGAAACCTGAGCAAACGGTGTACCCAGGTAAGGAGAGGAGCAGTCCTCACGTCTGACAAGGAGCCGTCTTTGGTGAGAATCAGGGATCCGTTGAAAATGATTCAAAATGGAAGCTTGGGGAGGGAAGAAACAAACCTGGATCAGCCACAGAACAGGATCCTCAGAGGACAGCAGGTGAGGTGTGCTCAGGAGGAAAGGGGAGAAGGTGCACAGCGTCCTAGGTGAAAGGGCGAGAAAGGGGACCAAGGAAAGCTGAGTGACTTCCGAGGTCTGGATGCTTCCTAAGCACCTCCTCTACACCAGGGAAACATGTCATACAAAACCAGAGCTGGCCTGACCTGGAGCTCTGTCAGGCTGGAGGGATGCAGAACCTTGACATGTAACTATGGGGCCACATGGAGAGGCTCATCACACTGGGAAGAGGGGGTGGGGGGAAGGGGTCCTGAAGAGCATTGGCCAAGTCTTGATGATCCAAACTCAATCAGGTCAAAAATGCACAAGGAACAGTAGGTGGGGCGCACAGAGGCCTCCTAGAGCCCACTGAGTTCACTGGGGAGAACGCCTGGTGAGTCCTGTGTCTGAACGCCAACAGAGCAAACTTGAAATGTCAACGAAAGCAAGGAATCTCATCCTACAGGCATCTCTGCAAAATGGCCAAAGAGAACCTGGTTTGAATATTGCAACAGAAGGGTTTTTGATGAGTAAAAAATTGAAAAGATCTGAAAGAATTAGAAACAGCATACATAGACCTGTTTAGAAAGTGCTGGACTTAATTCAATCTGACTACAATATTTCATTAAAGTTGATTCATTTTCTGGTGACTTCTCGCTGAATCTATTAAAATGCATCCAAGCAATAACGTGACATCCCTTCAGATCCTGGGAGTCCTTTCCTTCCAAATGAATGGGCTGTGAATGAATCTTACTTTTCACCATGAAGTGTATGCTATGTGTACATTGGTTTCAATGAGATAAGAACCATGTTCAGGCCACTGGAGGCGTTTTGCAACTGAAGATTGATGTTTGGAGGGAGTGTCACCCGCACAGATGAGCTGAGGGTTGCTTTGTGCTGGGGAGAAGAGGCAAGTGGGCAACACCTGAGGGTGTCTGTGTGGGGAGAAATCAGCTGTCAGCATTTTAAATCTCTGGAAAATGAGACACCAGATACCAGGGAAGGTGTCAGGTGTGAGGAGTGGTGTCAAGTGACTGCTAGAAACAGGTGTGTGTTAGATAATAAATGAGTAATAAATATATAAACAAGATAATCACAGACTGCTCAGAGGTTTAAAGAACATAAACAGGGTCATGTGAGAGAAAGTTGGGCATGGGCAGGCAAGGAAAATTGCTTGGAGGAGGTGATATTTAAAAGCTGGTATCTGCAGGATAAAAGGGGCCAGCAAAGGAGTGAAGAGAAAGCCATTCCTGGTCCAAAGAACATTCAGTGCAAAGGTTCTGGGAGAGGGAAGGAGATGGCTGCGTGCAAATGAAAGGCCAGTGAGGTGGGGCACAGACAGGACACAGGACAACTTGGAAACACAAGAAAAGGCCAGGATTTGCAAGGTAAAAGGAAACTTTCATTTTTTTCTTACGCGTTTTGGGAAGTAAGTGAAGATTTTAAGAAGTGCAGTGACATGCTCCCATAGTATCAAGGAAACCAGTTCAGAGGTTGAAGTGAAAATAACATAAGGAGGGCGCAGTAGAGAGGAAAGAATTGCTGACTGATGAAATACTTGAGTCACAGAGTCTGATGAATATGGGAGTGAGGAAAAGGGAGTGCTTCTTATTGATTTCCAGATTCTAGGCTTGACTGGGCAGGGAGTGGTACAGTTGACTGAAATGACAAAGCCCAGGTTTTTTTTTTTTTTCAAGGAGGCTAGGAAGTAAAAATGAAGAATTCTGTTCTGATAGACATTTAGACTTCCAGGTGCAGAGGCCCGATATATGAATCTGGGGCTGGAGAGAGGTGTGGCATGGATGTGTAAATTGGGGGTCATTATCACATATTAGGTGTTTATAGCAATCGGTCAGGATGAGGTCACCTAGGGAGAAAACATAGGCAATAAAGATGGCCCAATAATGAGAGGATGAACTGAAGGAGTGAAGGAGGCAAAGGAGATGGAGAAGGAGAAGCTGGGGGCAGGAAGGAAGCCAGGGGTGTGGCCTCTCAGAAGTCAGAAGAAAGGGTTTTATGAAGTGGGGCAGACGATCTCCTTTCAGATGCTACCAAGAAATGGAACAGGATGACGGACAACCACCCACTCATTCTTGGATTGGTGTGGATGGAAATCACTGGTGCCCTTGACAGGTGATTCAAGAGATCGGTGGGTGTGGAAGTTAGGCTACAGAAATTTGCCAGCTGAATGAGAGGCACTGAAATGCAGTGTGCACAGCCCTTTAAGAAGTTTTGCCATGAAAGAAGCTGAGAAATGTGGCGGAAATTGAAAGGGCTTGGATACCCTGATTTCCTCTCTCGATAGTGCATCCTGAGCACTTTCTAGAATAATTACATACATCTTTGCATAATTTGTTTTGGAGGGGAGAAGGAAGAAAGGGTTTTACTCTGTCGCCCAGGCTGCGGTACAGTGGTGTGATCCTAGCTCACTGCAGCCTTCATCTCCTGAGCTCAAGCAATCCTCCCGCCTCAGCCTCCCCAAGTAGCTGAGACTCCTGGGGCACACCACCACACCTGGCTAATTTTTTAATTATTTTTCTGGAGACTGGATCTTGTTATGTTGCTCAGACAGTTCTGGAACTTGGGGACTTAAGTGATCCTTTCCCCTCGGCCTCCCAAAGTGCTGGGATTACAGGAGCGGGTCACCGTGCCCAGGCTGCATAATCATTCTTAATAGATAGATGAACATACTTATCATTTATGTACCCAGTGCCCCATTTTACAACCATCTGGCCTCTTTCCAGCTTTTCACTTTTTTATAAACACTGCTGCAAGAAAAACCCTTGTGTATGTGTCCTTTTCACATTTGACCAAATATTTCTCTCGGATCAGCTTCTAGACATGGAATTTGAAAAGAGAAAAGGAAGGATGGATATAACCTGGAGTTTCCTCATCTGACCATTCTCCAGTAACCTACTGTTGAAGCCAAAATTACTCCCTCAATGAGCCAATTTAATCCTGTAGCTAAAACGAAACCGGGAAAACAAGTTCCTTGTTTTTAGTTGTTAGCCACTAAGATAAAGAAAACAGAAGTATTCAGACTATTAGAAGCTCAAGGCACATTCCAGTGGGTTTTTCTTTTCTTCCTGTGGAATGTCTTCCCACTTATTCCTTCTTTCTCTTCGGCTGGTACTTTCCCTGCCCAGGTTCCATCTGTCCGCCTGCCTGCCTCTCTCTCCCCCTCTACCCTTTTGGCCTGGCTCCTGTATATCCAACAATCCCTCAGGCACCCCCGTCAATTCCTCTAATTTTAGTTTCCCCTTGTAAATATATCTGAATAGTTTCAGTGAATGATTAAGCTGAGGCCAGATGTATACATATTGACCTATATTCAGCAACATGTATGAAAGCCTTGTTGCTTTCGAAGAGCTCTTTTAGGTGACAAATAACAGAAAGGAAGGGGCATTTTCCCTTTAGATGAGGAGAGAAGAGAAAGATGGTTGACAGCCTTATGCAGCATAGAGAATGTCTCTAGACCAGGAAGTGTCCATCACTGGCGACATCTGCCTTCTCCTTACTATCCTGGCCGTTTGCATCAAATGTGTCTTTAAAAAGGGGGCAGGTGAGTTTCACAGATGTCTATGACTGTCTTTAACTGTTCTTGGTTTACATGCAGGTGGGAGTCTTTAGTCCTTGTGCTGATGTATCTTATCTACATTGTCATCATGAAGTAAGTAAAATTCTTCATTTCTTTTCCAAAACTGTTTCTTGCATTCCACATTATGTGATGACATGGGAAGAGGGTTGGGGTGGGTATCTGACTGGTTTTCGGTGTGTATCATCACAGTCACTTGACTCCCTGCCAGACTGTTGTGAGTCACTATAATTTTGATTAGTATCAATTGTAGTGACCCTTCCAGTCCATATACGATGATAAACTCAAAGCTTCAATGTTTCACTTGAGAACTCTCTAGAACCCCTAATCTCTCTTCAGGATCTGGCAGCCTAGCTCTGGGAGGTTTCTTCACTCTCTTTCTTAACACAAAGGAGATACAACTCGATACGTTACACTGCATAGAGGGTGAGGGAAGATGCAAGGTAGTCTGCTGCCAGTCTACTCAATATGGCGGCCAACATGAGCCAGCCCTCTGGTGGTCTGTGTAGACCCAGTATCTAGGGCTTGCTTGTGGAAGGAATTCCTAGGGTAGGACCTTCATCAAACATATCCTGGCATGGAATTATCGTGAGGTAACCGATGAAGAGTTAGTTAAGAGACAACTGAAATCATGGATCAAATATCTGTGGACTTCCATTATTTGTGTGGTATTAGTCACCCACTGCTGCATAGCAAACTATCCCGAAACTTAGTGGCTTAAAAGCACAAACATGTATTATCTCACACATTATCTGAGAGTTAGGAATCCGGGAGCAGCTTAACTGCAAGGTTCTAGCTCAGAGTCTCTCATGAGGTTACAGGTAAGAAGTCAGCCAGAGCTGCCATCATGTACCGGACAGGTGTGAGAGAACCTGCCTTCAAGTGATGCTGGCTCTTGACTGGCAGGCTCAGTTTCTCACCACGTGGGCTCCTCCTTAGAGCTGCTTGAGTGGCTTCCTCCAGAGCAAGTGATTCAAGCAGAGAGCAAGAAGGGCCCTGCAACACCTTTTGTAATATCCCAGAAGTCACTTGCCATTACTTCTACCGCAGTCTGTTTATTAGAAGTGAGTCACTAAGTCCAGTCCACACTCAAGGGGCTGGCATCACCTAGTGAAGGGAAGAGCGTCAAAGAACTGTTGATATATTTTGAAACCACCATGTCATGTGTTCTTTTCCCTCCTGGAGCTGGGGTAGCTTATTTATATCAAGAATTTGCCAGGCGCGGTGGCTCATGCCTGTAATCTCAGCACTTTGGGAGGCCAAAGTGAGCAGATCACTTGAAATCAGGAGTTCGTGACCAACCTGGCCAACATGGTGAAATCCTGTCTCTACTAAAAACACAAAAATTAGCCAGGTGTGGTGGTGCGCACCTGTAATCCCAGCTACTTTGGAGGAGGCAGGAGAATCTCTGGAACCTGGGAGGCAGAGGTTGCCGTGAGCTGAGATCACGCCACCATGCCAGCCTGGGTGACAGAGCGAGACTCCATCTCATTGAAAAAAAAAAAAGTATATGGCCAGTGTTTCCCATGCTCTAAGTTGTAAGCACCATGTAAGCACCATGGTTGTGAGCCTGCTGGTTCATCTTTTTGCCAGGCACCACTGGGATGAGGAGGTTATAAATAATGCAGAGATGTTCTATGCTACAGCTGCCCACCCCTGTGGGAGCAGCTTCTTTTCCTCTCAATTAGCCCATGTTTCCCCAGCATATGTAGCTGTAGGAGTGACTGCCTTCTCTAGGGGCAAGAAAGTAGAAATCCATCAACAGTGGCCAGTTTGGACATATCAGGTAGCAGTCTGGAACTGACATGTTAAGGTTTCTTATTATTGAGGCCTGACAAAAGTTAATTCTGGTGACCAGTGACTGAGACGCTTGTTGAGAGAAATCAACGTGGACATTGGCAAATATCACAGGAGCAAGCACATCTGGAGCTTAGTGGAGAAGGGCGTTCCTAGAGTAGGACCTTACTCATACATATCCTGGTACCATAAGGTGACTAATGAAGAAACCAGAAGTCACACACCGTGAAGTCACATACCGACAGATGAGCTCTCACGAAAGCCAGAGTTGACCCAAAGCCTTTCCAAAGTTTCCAGCCCCCAAAGGAAAAGACTTTAAAGATCAGAGCACCCATCTTATGCCTCTTTGCCTCAAACAGCAAAGCTATAGAGCAAATCAGTGCCAAGTGGGGAAGCCTCAAACTGCTGTCTGTGTGTATACTCACACATCTTCCTTTGTTGTTTTCTAGTGCATTGTTTCGATTTTTTAACATTTTGAGGGTCTGATTGAGCTCCCAAAAGTGGATTAGTTGATTTTTCTGGAAGAATCACCATACAGTGTCTGCTTTATGCCCAACATTAATCTTGGGTCTTGAATCTTAATTTTCAAGAAAGTATGTTTCAAAATGAATTCACTAGGGGCTTCACAGAGTTAAGTATTCTTGAAAAGCAGATGTGACCAGAGGGAAGGAGAGTTGAGGAATTTTGCTGTCATGCATCCTATGGCCCCTGCTCCCCTTTCTAAGCCACCTTGAAGCCCATGAGTTGCTGGCAGAACACGTGGACAGTAAGATACAACAGCGAACACATCCTCTCCTCTTCCCCAAACCATACCAAATGTGGAAGCTAATGAGGTGTGTTTCTGCTGATGCCTCACTTTTACAACATTCCAGCTGTTCAAACCAGCAGGATACAAACAAAACCGGGAATGGAAGCTACTGTGCTCATGAAATTTTCTGCATAAATTCTGGTCCTAAGTTCTAAATTGAAATCTCTGCTCTTTAGCCATCCCCCTCTGCAATCAGAGGCTTTAATCATTGGGTTTTATCAAATCTGATTTATAAAATTGCATGCTTCACAATAAAATAGCTTCAGGGTGCAAGCACAAAATTTGAAACATTCAATTAAAAATATAAAACAGCAACAGTAGTTAAAAAAAACACACACACACCAGCATATATTAAAATCGTCAGCAGCGTCCTAGGTGGAGAGTTTTTAAAGGACTTTAAACATTCTATCTGAAGGTCAGAAAGCAATTTCAGATTGTCCAGGTTGGTAGAAACCCTCAGGGAGCATGAAGCATGCCTGGCCTTGGCACGGATTGATTTCTGTACATCCCGGGTCGCTGCTCTGGGATTTGTTACCTAGATGGGTTATGTGTGCTGGTGGTTAAGAACCAGTGCCTCACATTCGGCCCTGACAGTGGAGCCCCATGCCACTGACAGCCGTGGGACCTCAGCCAAGTTATTCAGCCATCTTGAATCTCAGTTTCCTCTTCTGCAAAAAAAAGATTAATAATAATTTCTACTATTATTATATATATTCCATGAGAACGGAATGCGACAGCTTAGTTAAGCTGTCAAGCTAAGATAAGCTTAGTTTAACTCTGCATCCAGTTTCAAGAAAGCCCTCACTGTGTAGTATTATTATCCTGTTCTCTAAACCCTGATAAATGTATAATACATGGGTTTGCTTTTGTACTTTAAAAGCAAAACCTAATCACTGGGCCCTGTGGTGCATGCCTGTGATCCCAACTATTCAGGAAGCCAGAGTGAGAGGATTGCTCGAGGCTAGGAGTTTGAGACTAACCTCAGCAGCGTAGCAAGACCCTGTTTCAAAAAAAAAAAAAAAAAAAAGCAACCTTTATGCAAGTCAATATTTCTTTCAGGGAAAGAAAGTCAAGATGACAGAAACACCGCCTCTTTCCCTGTCGCCCTATGGGGCAAGGCATGGAGGTCTTTTCACTAACGGGAATTTTGAATATATACAAGAGTCAACAGAATAGTATAATGAAGTCCACGCACTCATCACCAGCCCCAGAAACCATCAACCCACAGTTGCCCCATCCACACTATATTCACTTCCCTTTTCTTCTATAATTTTGAAGTCCCAGACATCATACTAGTTCATCCACAAAAATTCCAGTATACATCTGGACTTCTCTAGACATAGCTGGATACTCTTTTAGGATTCTAAAAGGACTATTTTCTGTAACATAACCACAACATTATCATCGTACCTAAAATTAATACTAATTCCTTAATATCCTAAAATACCAAGTGTTCAAATTTTCAGTGGCCTCACAAATGTCTTTTTGATTGTTTTCTTTTAGTTTCATGAATATCATAAAATTTTAAAAATGAGAATTCAAATAAATTCCATTCATTAGAATTGGTGGCCCTTGACTGGTTGCTGTGTCTGTGTGTGTGTGCATATATGTGTGTGTGCATATGTGTGTGTGCATGTGTGTGTGTGTGCATTTTCCTTGCACTTTGTTCTTTAATGAAGTTTGGCTGTTTGCTCTGCAGAGTTGCCCACGGTTGGAAAGTGTTGATTACATCCCATGATGTGGCACAGTCTGTTCCCTTGGCCTCTGTGTCTGTGTGTGTGTCTGTGTGTGCATATCTGGGTGTCTATGTGTGTGTGTCTGTGTCTGTGTGTGTGTGTCTCTCTCTGTACGTCTGTGTGTGTCTGTGTGTGTGTCTGTGTGTTCGGGGTGTGTGTGTGTGTCTGTGTGTGTGTCTCTTTGTGTGTCTGTGTGTGTGTGTGTGTCTCTGTGTGTCTGTGTGTGTGTGTCTCTGTGTCTGTGTGTCTCTGTGTGAGTGTCTGTATGTGCATGTGTGTGTGTGTGTGTGCATTTTCCTTGCACTTTGTTCTTTGATGAAGTTTGGCTGTTTGCTCTGCAGAGTTGCCCACAGTTGAAAGGTGTTGATTATATCCCATGCTGTGGTGCAGTCTGTTCCCTTGGCCTCTGTGTTTCCTGTATGTCTGTAATTGATCTGATTCGGGCTAGACTGTGTCCCAAGTGGTGATGAGTTCCATCATCAGGAGGCACGGCGATGTCTGCCTTTCTCTCTCTGTAATGTTGGCAGCCATCAGTGCTCAGTATCTGGATCCATTATTTCATTTGGGTTGCAAAATAGTGCTGTTCTAATTCTATGCTTCATGTCTTATGAACTACAAATGGCACCCGTCACTTTGACTGGTTTTCTGTTCTCTCTTATGCAATGTAGTAACTGCATGTTCCTAGAGAGTACAGGAAAGAACTCATGGATGAGACGGTCCAGCTACAGAGGGCCTCTTCGTCTCTCTGAGGTCTTGTTGCCATAAGCCGGCCACCCTAGAGCTGCCCCCACTGAAGAATCAGGGGCAAGGGAGATAGCTGGGAGGGAATCCAGAGAGCTTCATGTCTGTAGCAGCGAAAGAGTTGAGGAGGGGAAGAGAAACATAGGTTGAGTGGCCTTCCAGCTGGCAACTTAGGGTCACCGTGCCTAGCTGCCATTCCTATGGGAGGCTGGAGGTCAAACTGGAGGTCCCCAGTGAGCCATCCCATGGCCAGGTTGAGTGGCCTTCCAGCTGTCAACTTAGGGTCACCATGCCTAGCTGCCATTCCTATGGGAAGCTGGAGGTTAAACTGGAGGTCCCCAGTGAGCTGCCCCATGGCCAGTAAATGATGGAGTGGGGAAAAGCAGTAGCAGCCTTCTGTGACCTGGAAATTGTACCTGGCTGTCTTTGCCCATGAGTTTTTATGAGTTTTCTAGAATTCCTCTGTGGGAATCTTCTCATACTAAAGCTAGGGAGACTGGAACATTTACTTGCAAAAAACCACCCTTGGAACTTGTACAAGCTTCTTCCCTTCCCACCTGAGCCTGCTGGGGCATGTAAGGAACACTGCACAATGTATTCACTTGATCATTCGGGAGGATCCTCGCCTAGAAGTTTTCATAAAGCCAAGGGCCCACTGGATCTGGAACTCAGGCACGATAGTCATAGAAATTTGCAGAATCCCAATCCATGACCTCAGGAAACCAAAGACATAGAGACCTAGACGGCCAACCGACCTGTAGCACATAGACCGTGACACACAGTCACTGCTCCTGGGGAGTGGTGTGGATGAGGCAGCTTCTCCTTCTTCCAAAAAACTGGTCCCTGATTACAAAGGCCCTGGAGATGTGGCCCAGAGGAGGTAGACCTTGACCATCCCACTGAGTCTTAGCACAGTCCTTCTGTGTGCAGACTGAGAAGGGGAGCTCAATCCCAGAGAGGCCTCCACTGGCATGAAAGAGGTTGCAAAGTAAGCAGTGTGATCTGGTTTATTTCTATAATGGTGGTTTTCTTTTCACCTACCATTTGTTCATAAATTGGGAAATGGGACAGGTTGTATATTCTGAGGGGGAATGGGTTGAGAAAATTAGAACAATAATAACTTGAGCCCTGGGGACTGTACATGCAGACTGGGAGAGCTCCCAGGAGCACTCGGTGGGAGCTGAGACATGGCAGAATGGCAAACACTGATGGACTCTGCCCACTTGTTACTTTGCTCAGATATAACGCTTGCATACATCAGTGCTTTGAGAGGAGGACAAAAGGTGCCGGGAACATGGTCAACGGATTGGCCAACAATGCTGAAATTGATGACAGCAGCAACTGCGACGCAACTGTGGTGCTACTTAAGAAAGGTAACCAAGGAGAGCACTGTGGGGGCCAAGGCAGCAGGATCACTTGAGGTCAGGAGTTCAAGATCAGCCTGGCCAACATGGCAAAACCCCATATTTACTAAAAATACAACAAAATTAACTGGGAATGGTGGCCCAAACCTGTATTCCAAGCTGCATGAGAGGCCAAGGCACGAGAATCACTTGAACTCAGGAGGCAGAGGTTGCAGAGAGCCAAGATTGCTCTACTGTAGTCTAGTCAGGACAACAGAGCCAGACCCTATCTCAAAAAAAAAAAGAAAAGAAAAGAAAAGAAAAGAAAGGTAACCAAGGGGATACTGTGTGCGAGAAGAAAGTGCTAGAATATGAGCCCATCTGCCCACTGTCATAGCCACACATGGGGTGTCCTAGCTGGCCTTGAGAAGACACTCCCTGCCCCAAGATAGAGCAGAAGTTTCCAGTCCTCCAACCCTCCCTTTCACTACAATGTCATGGAGCCATCTCATACCTGGTAAGCCCGTTGGAGCTCAGAAAGCCCCCTGGAAATTTTCAGGCAACACATTTGCTGGGAGTGCTGCAGAGAACAGGATGGCAAAGGAAAGGAGACCCTAGGTTCTGAGATACCGGTTCTGTCCCATTTTGGCTGTGTGACTATGAAGCAGGTTATATAACCTCTTGAGCCTCAATTTTCTCTTCTGAAATATGAGAATCATTTTTGTAATAAGCAAAGCAGATAAATATGTATAAGAGTTTAGTGCAATGCTCTATAAATGACAGGTGTTATTAGTGTATTACTAGATCCAAATTCACTTTAAGGCTACACTAACTCAGTTTTCAAGCTGCAAATAGAAATAGAAAAGTGCCTTCCCCTTCAAAGTAATTCTTATATTCAATCGAGTCTTACAAAACAGCTGAGATACTAAGGGAAATAATATGGCACTCTCAAATATATAGTATTTTTTCTTAGAGGAACTCAGAAAATAATCATTGAATTTTGCCTGGAATGTGTTTTTTTATTTAATTTTTTAAACTTTTCTCTTGAAATGTAAGAGTTTATTTTTTCTTGTTCCCATATGGTTGCTTTGCAGGAAGGAAAAAAAAAGAAATTAGAAAGGTTATTTTCAAATACATCTATGGGTTATTTTCGAACATATCTCTGACATCACTGCATCGTTATTAGATTTTCAAAATTAAATATTTGATATATTTTTGTGAATGATTATACATATGTTTAACAAATGACTTAAGTGATTTAGTACCATTTCACATGAGGATTTTATTGAGTTTATTCTCTTCTGGGTAGTTTATAACCATAAAAAGACTATGCCAAAGAGAGCTACCTAGGATTAGCCAGTGTTTCCAGAGATCCCTTCATGCTTTAGTGGCTTGGAAAACAGGAGCTAGTACTACAAGAGGCTGCAGCCAAGTACCCTTGAGCTGTGTGCATATAGTGCTCATTCACAGAGAGGGAGCTGGACCCTTCGTGCAACATTTTTTTAGGCCTTCTGGTGAATTATCACACAGGATTTGTCCCAAGCACCCTTCTGACCTCGGTTCTCTGTAACATGAACAACTCACCCACCCCTTGTCAGCTCTGCTCATAGACTGCACTGAGGGAATGTGTACTTTTCACCACCATGTCCCCCAGTGCAGAACTGCACTAACATCAATCCAGTAGCATTTAACAGCTCAGGATGAATATTGCTGACATTTGAAGGGCATATAGGGTACAAAGTTCTTAGAGTCTTCTCTGTGCCCCAGATCTGAGTGGTGGGAAAAGAATCCTTTGAGGACAAGGAGGAATTCTCTTATGGTATCATTAATTCTTACCATGTCAATGAATGATGCTTAAATTGTTTCAAGTCCTTTCAAAAGATTTAACATTAACACCCATGGAAAGGAGATTTTGACTTGTGCAAAATTTGCTCACTGCAACCCTTCCTGGCTGGCTGGATGAATGGAAAGAAGGAAGGAAAGAAGGAATAAGGAAAGAAGAGTGGATGGATGGGTGGATAGGTGAGTTGGATGGATGGAAAGAAGAATGAATGGATTAATCGGTGGAAGGAAGGAAGAAATAAAGAAAGAAGAGTGGATGAATGGATCGATGGATGGATGGATGGATGGGTGAATGGATGGGAGGAAAGAAGGGAGGAAGAGAAAGGAAGGGAAGGAAGAATAAATGAATGCCTCTTTCCTGTTCCTGGCTTCAATGTTATTTTACCTTATGTTTTCCATTTCCCTAGCAAATTTCCACCGTAAAGCATCAGTGATCATGGTGGACGAGCTGCTGTCGGCCTACCCACACCAGCTTTCCTTCTCTGAGGCTGGCCTTCGAATCATGATCACCAGCCACTTTCCCCCCAAGACCCGGCTCTCCATGGCCAGTCGCATGTTGATCAATGAGGTACCTTGGAAAGCACTGTCCACTGACACTGGACAGGGGTGGGAAACTCTGGGAAAGAGAGAACGTTTCTTGTTTGAAAGAAGAAGCACCTAACTCAAAGTTTAACACCGCAGCATCCCTCAGCCATTTCCCAATCTTAGTTCCCTGGGCCAGCTATGTATCTGGCCCTTGCTATTCCCTCCACGTGTTGAGACATGGACTAATTCCCATTTATATAGAAAACTCCCCTGTTCCTTCTCCCTTTCACCCACATTTTTCTTCTATTGTTCCATTTGAATAAAGCTCCCTGACGTAAACTTGCACAGAAATTGTTGCTAACTAAGGGTTACCTTAGTTTAAAGTAATACAGAGTCCCTAACTTGAATTTTGCTGTGCATTCCTTTTCTGGAGTGTAGCCTTATTGATACACTAGTCCAAACACAGTTGTTCAGCTTTCTCACATAGGGACCCAGGAACTCCGGCAGTCTGGGGAAGAAAGATGACACCACAGTACACAGTGTATCAAGGAACTGCACATCCCAGACACAGGAATTTTCCTCTAAAGGGATTTGCAAATTCTAATTTGCAAATTCAAATTTGCAAAAATTAATCTTTCCTCCCAGAAGGACGTTGTCTGGAGTTGGTTATCACATTGAGAGGCCCCTTAAAACTTGACTCCAGGGTCTTCTGGAAGCATCTCATCAGCTGCCAGGAAAAAATCCCAACAGTTCGTGTTCTGAGTGTAAGGTATTTGCAATCCCGCTGACCGTGGTAAGAGTGCACCTTTCTCTTTCCAGAGACAAAGATTGATAAACAGCAGGGCTTATACCAACGGGGAATCCGAGGTGGCCATCAAAATCCCAATTAAGCACACTGTGGAGAATGGGACAGGGCCCAGCAGTGCCCCAGACAGGGGCGTGAATGGGACACGGAGGGACGATGTTGTGGCTGAGGCTGGCAACGAAACAGAAAATGAAAATGAGGACAATGAGAATGACGAGGAGGAAGAGGAGGACGAAGATGATGATGAAGGACCATACACGCCATTCGACCCCCCCTGTAAGAGGTTCTATGTCTGGGCTGGGGTTGGGAGCTATTTTGAGCCACTGAGTAGATGCCCCTGACTTGAATGATCTTTTTACCATTCAATTTTTTAAAATCTCTGTATGAACATGAGAATATGTATATCAAGTCTTCTTTGGGCAGGACTTTGTTGTAGAAGTTCAAAGATGGCCAAGATGGGGGTCCATGATCATTGGTTGAAATGTGAGCTCTTTAATCAGCTGTGTTTTGTACAAGTATTACTGAACTGCCAGGGATTTGGTCTAGGTCCTGCTCATCAGTGCACAGAAAGCCAGTCACTGAGACAACGAATATTGCCAGGGAAAAAGGCTTTAATCAGGAGCTGCAGCCGAGGATATAGGAGATCAGTCTCAAATCCATCTCACTGAGCAACTGCAATTGGGGATTTATATAGCAGGGAAGGAATGTAGCTACCTTCCGGCAAATAGGAATTAGGGAGAAGTAAGGAAGAGGAGTTGCTCCGCAGGAAGTAGACAGTCCATCAGGCATCACGATGAAGGAGAGATCTGACTCCTCATTGTCCAGACACAACGATCTGGTGAGTTTCAGTTCCTTGATGCCATCTGGGAGGCCTAATGGTCCATTTCCTGAGAAAAGAGCTCAGAGAAGACAAATGAACGTTTCTCAAGTTTTAAAGCTGAGAGTCAGTTTTTATATTAATTCAAAAGAAACTATAAACATCAGTTCTATGGGACAGTTGGGCTGGTTTCAGGGGATGGTCTTATCTTACTTAGCTGTTCTGCAGGAATTTTTGGTATGAAGGAGGAAATGCCCATGACCCTTGTGGGCAAGGCAGTTTGGTGCACAAAAGGAGAGGCACATCACTCACCTCCACCCATCCCATTGCACCTCGCCAGGAGAGCTGTCCTGCCAAGGTCAGCCCTGGTGGACGCCAAGCCCTGAAGAAGCTTTCAGGACCTCAGTCGCCAGGGCAGTGTCCTCCTCTCCCAACTGCTGCCTCCAACAAGGACTTGGTTGTTCCAGAAACTGTTTCACCCCACCCCACCCATTATCGGAGCAGGTGGACCAAGCCCAAGGAATTCTGCCTATTTGCTGGACCTTCCAGAAGCTTCTGGCTGTTTCAGGGAAGCGTACACTAGTCTGATTCACATTGACTGTCAAGTGTGTGAGGCTCAGTATACATGTGCAGCAACCTCCTTGGGATGTTTGAATGTGCAGGATTATCTGAGGAAACGTTTGATCCACCTGAAAGCCCATTTAGTGGTAGGACATGGTGCTGAGTGTCAGAGTCCTGTGTTAATTTCAGATGCAGGGTCTTGCTGTGCTCCAGGGGAGCTCCTTTCTGTCCAGAGGACAGCAAGTAAAACTTGAATCAGAGCCGCCCTGTGCCCACTCAGGGCACCCAAGATGTCAACCTCATCAAGAACTTACCAAAACGAATCAGAAAATATTCATCCACATTCCTATAACCCCCCATTCCCTCACCTCCCACCCAAAGCTGAATCATCACTTGTTAGTACATTATCTTTATAGAAAAAATGTACACTCGTCCTTTATCCATTTTGCCACCATCGGATATATTTCTTGGCAACCTTTCCCATCAACCAAGACAGAAACATCTTAAGAATTAAATGACAAAAAACACTCCTTTCCTCCCTTTTAAACCCTTCCATTCATTTTCTGTTGCCGCCTAACAAAATACCATATATTTTGCAGCTCAAAACAAGACCCACTGATTAGCTTACAGTTCTGTAGGTCAGAAGTCCAGCTGGATTCTTAGTCTCACAGGCCATAATGAAGGTGTAGCCAGGGCTCCATTCCTTTGCAGAGGCCCTGGGATAAATCATTACCAGGCACCGGTTCACCATGGCTGTACAGCTCCTTGATGGCTGTCAGCTGGGGATGTCCCACTGTTCCTGAAAGCCACGGAGCCCCTCCACCTTCACCTGGATGTGTGAACCTCTTCCCACCATCATTCCTAATCTCTCTGGCTCCCCTTTTGCTTTTGAGAACTCTTTGCAACTAGATCAGGTACCTGCACAATCTCTCTACCTAAAGGTCAACTATGCCATACAACACAGCAGAGTCACGAGGCTGATAGCTCATCCCACTCACAGACCCTGAGAATCTTAGGGACTCATGTCTAGAATTCCGCCTACTCAACCCCTGTTTTCAGAGTCCACCATTGGCTGGCCATAACCAAGCTCCAGTAATGCTTATTTTGCTAAACTCTTTCACTAATTAAAGAAACAGTCAAGCCAGTGGAAGGTCTGTAAGTGACCAAGTTCTATGTTAGCATCTTGGGAGCCCAGAATCCCCAAGTGCACCCTCCAGGGGACAGTGAAAGATGTGTGTGTGAGATGAGACCAAGTCTGGCCCAGTGCCTGGACCTCGTTACTGACTGGGACCCAGCGCCCCCTTCAGATCCTTGGTTCCATATTTCTCTTCTGGATGAGAGCTCACCGTGGGATTTCAAGGTCTTTGAAACTCCTGCTCCCAACCCTCTGTCTCACTGTAATTAGGTTGCAGATGATGGAGGCCTCAGACCTTCCAGCCACACCTTCTGGGCTCCTGTGTATTAGGAGACGTGGCTGCAGGCATCTCACCCCAAGAAATGCTGCACCTGAGGCTCAGGAACCCCACATCCCCTCCCGTGTCCTTCTTGAAGCACAGGCAAGAGAGAGGAGATGATATTCTGTGTGGTCATAGCATCCCGTGGGGTCTCCATGTCATTCAAGGACCCCCAGCTGCCAAGATAGAAAGCAGAATTCCAAGTTCTTCTCTACCAGCCCTTCTCACTTGGGCTTCCTTAATGAAATGCACGTTCTGATTCAGGAGGTCTAGGGTGAGGCCCAAGTCTGCATTGCTAATCAAGAACCCCCCGCATCCTGCGACACTGACGCTGCTGGTCTGTGTGCCACACTTGGAGCACCGAGGGGCTAGAGACCTAGAGGCACTCAGCGATCATCCCAGTTCTTCTAAGATGCGGGAAAGCCTGATTCAGAGCCCGGGTCTGCCTTTGAAAAGAGTGAACTCCCCCAATTACGACTGTCTCTTCCCCTCTACCAGCTGCTAAGGAATCCCGGGCCCAGAATTAGGAACTCCATTTTAAGGCAAGGGAACTGAATGCCCAGCCAGGCCCCTTGCGGGGGCAGACAGGCCTCTACTTACCGGTGAGAAGCCTGAGGGGTGCTTCTGGCCAGCAGAGGGCATCGAGAAGCCCGGGAGTCAGTTCTGGGAGCCCCAAGATGGGTTCCTATCAAGTCAAGTTCCTGTGGCCTGAAAAGGGTCCGCCCACACGATGAGGACATTTTTCTCTCTCATAGTCGTCCTGCAAGGCGTGAGTACCTTGTGTTTCCGCCACCCAGCCGCAGTGCTTTCTTTTCTCAGGACTTGACTAGAGTGGGTATGATGATTACCAAGAAAGTAATTATTTAGGAGTATGTGAATACTGTTTGTGAGTTCATATATGTACATATATGTACAGTGTGCAATTTAAGATTGATATAACATATTAACATGCGCATGTGTACTGTATACACTTAATATATTGTATACATATATAATATATGCACAGATATTTACATATTTATGTTTATATATGTATATACTATATTATAGGTTATATGCACATAATATATATATATTATATACTCCTACACTTGATATATGCACATACATGCATATAAACGTGCAGCTGTTGTTATCTCTTGGGTGAAGAAAGCCTTATGGTTGACAGACAGCAAAAGAAACCTTTTCATGTGTATATAGGTAAACACATTTCCATGGGAAAGAAAAACTAGAAGGAAATACACCGTAATATAAGTAGGCTTTTCCAAAGCAAAATTATATTTTTCTATATTTTTTACCTTAAAACAGTGTACATTTTTATTGCCTATATTATCGGAACAAATGCATATATTTAGGTCTAGGTCTAAAATACTGTGCAATAACTTTTTCTCTCTCTGATAGAATTCAGATTTCTTAAAACTGACTGAGGAACATAATTTTGAAATAAGTCTTTTTGCTTGCTAAAGCCAAGTCCAACCCAAAGGGATACTATCATGCTTATGGGCCCGGCTCAGGCCCCTGGCTTCAGCTCTCAGTTGCTAGCTGACTTTTGTGAAATCAGGTAATCACCAGCACATCAGGTCCATGTGCAGGGAAGTTTTTTCCCTTAATTCATTGCTGTACCCCCAGCACCTGCAGCAGTCGGCCTGGCTGAATCCCCAGCACCTGCAGCAGTCGGCCCGGCACAAAATGCCATAGAGGGCATTCAACAAATATGTATTAAATGAATGAATGAAGAGTAAACCTATCCCCTTTGCTGCTCTATTTTGACCCAATGGTAATAGAGCAGAAGATGGAAAAAATGTCCAGAAATGTTGTTGACTCAAAGAGGAAAGGAAACCTTTTTAACCCCTTTATTCAGAAATGGAAATTAAGGGCTGGGCGCGGTGGCTCACACCTGTAATCCCAGAACTTTGGGAGGCAAAGGGAAGATGTGGATCACCTGAGTTCAGGAGTTCAAGACCAGCCTGGCCAACATGGCGAAACCCCGTCTCTACTAAAAATACAAAAATTAGCTGGGCATAGTGGCGCACGCCTGTAATCCCAGCTACTCGGGAGACTGAGGCAGGAGAATCACTTGAACCTGGGAGGCGAAGGTTGCAGTAAGCTGAGATCACACCACTGCACTCCAGCCTGGGCAAAAGAGTGAGACTCTGTCTCCAAAAAAAAAAAAGAAGGAAAATTAAGACCAGCTAAAATGTGGGTAATCATTATTTGACTGTCTTTGTTCCTCAAAATCATTTTTAAAAGACACCTTATATTTGTACCTTATATTTGTTATATTTGCTGTGTTACTTTTAAATATATGATTCAGATAATGCTCATTGAATTTCTAGTTTTAAGGTTGTTGTTGTTACAAAGGGGCAATGACTTAAAGCAAGCATATATATCATTGAAAATGACATTTTCCAGATATAATGCCCTCCCGGTGTCCAGTCAGAAGTTTTTAAAACAGTTGATAAGAACTCAACATTCACTGGCACTCACACTTCTTGCAACTTTGTCTAATCAATATCATTTTCCAAGCTCTGGCACTTGTAAGTTCTGACTTCATTTTTTCTTCCCTCTATTTATCTATTTTCTGAAAAATGTAAGAGTCAAGTTGGGATTATTTCTCCTCCTCTTCATGTGTTTCTTTGTCATCTTTGATTGGGTGTACATTTTAAACTAAACTAAGTCTCTCTGTCTGTGTGAGGGCATCAGCCATATGGAAGGCCATTGAGGAGATTCTAGGAGTTCCACATGGGTAAATGCCTTATCAGCACATTGCAGGATTTAGGAATGTGCAGAGTTCCAGGATGCATGTGGGATCCAAAGAGCTGCCCATATCCTGGATTCTGCAACATTTGGAAACCCGTCTCCAAACAACTCTTAGCCAGGATTCTTGGTTTACAAAGCAAGCACAGTCTCTATGTTCTCATCATTCACTTGACCATCTCCAAATCTTAAATCTAACAAGATTCATAGCAGCTAATAGGAAAATACTTCTCCTTTCTTAGTACTTTTTTGTTTGCTTGCTTTACTCTGTACTTGTATTTTGGATAGTCTTAGATTCTCAAAAACAAGTAATTTTCTTTGGTCTGTCTGATTAGATTGTTCATAATAACATTATTACTACAACTGTTATTGCTATTTACTGAAAATGTGATATAAGCTCAGGACTATTCCTGCCTTTCAAAATCAGGTGCTAAACAAGTGAGAAGACCCCTGTTCTCTTGGACTTTATTCTAATTTGATGGAGACTGAAAATAAATTAAGAAACAAACAACCCTGATGGTTTAAGACAGGAAATATTTGGATGAAACAAATAAAAATGAGTATAGAAAAGCAGGACTGAGACGATAAAGGTTATATTTAGATTTATCTGAGGGCCCGATGACATTTGAGCAGTGAAGTAGTCTGCGTGACAGGGCAGACTCTGCCATGAGAAGATCCAGGTAGAAGACCTGTGAGGGCAAAGGCCTTGAGGCAGGAAAAGGCTTGGAGTGTCTGAGGACAGAAAGCAAGCCAAGACCAGGGAGTATGTCAGCAGGGAGAGTGGCAGTTGAGACAAAATCAGGCAGTGCCTTACAGACCATGGTGGGGAGACCTGGTTTTACTCTAAGGGCAGTGGAGACCAATGGAAGGTTCTAGAACAATTTGCTTTTTGAGACTCTTTCCTCTGGCTACTGGTAGCAAACAGATGGAGATAGGACAGGCATTGGAGCAGTAGTCCCCTTAGGAAGCCAGGTTGTCAGCCAGGCTTGGTGAACCTGGCCCCAGCGGAGGCTGTGGGAATAGTGAGATGGTGGGAATACCCTGTCAGGTTGCCAGGGTTGGCTGTGGGGGATACAAGAAAGGGAATAATCAAGAATGACTCCCAGGATTTTGACTGGAATGACTTGTGAGCTCATGTTGTCCCAGCCGTTGTCCTAATATCATCTTATTTTATTCTCCCAGCAACTCTGTCAGCTCAGTGCTGCTGTATACACATTTACATAGATGAAGAAACTGAGGTGTAGAGAATTTAAATAACTGAGTCATTCAGCTCATCAGCCACAGAGCAGGGACCAGTGCCCAGCACCATCTGATGAGAAACCCCTCTGCCTCCCATAGACACTGTGCCTCGGCCATTTAAGAGAGGCCAGAGGATGCCCGAAATAATGTTAGATAATTGTTCTATCTATGTAGTTTTTAGGAACTATTGGGAGATTGATAGGATATATGAAACAAATACTGGATACTGGTCTAAAATGATAAAATACATTTTATTAAACATTTAATTACTGTTTAAATGTTATAAAATTTCCTCCTTAACTCTGGTGGGAATATAAAATGGTTCAGTCACTTTGGAAAACTGGCAGTTTCTTATAAAGTTAAATAAATACCCACCCTATGACTCAGCAATTCTCCTGGGTCTTCATCCGAGAGAGATGAAACACGCCCACAAAAAGACTTGTACAACAGTGTTCACAGTCATCTGGCTTGTAATACCCTCACACTGGCAACAAACAAATGCTCACCCACCGCCATATGGATAACAAATCGTAGCACACTCATAGGATGGAATACTACACAGCAATTAAAAGGAATGGATCATGCAACATGAATGAATCTCAATCACATTAGGTTGAACAGAAGAAGGTAGGCACGAAAACATTCTGTATGGTTTTATTTATTTGAAGTTGGAGAACAGTTAATATCTATGGTGGTAGAGGGTGAGAAGTTGACTAGAAAGAGGCACAGGAAACTTGCTGGAAGGTAGAGACACTGTGTATCTGGATTGCATTGAGGAGTACATGGAAATATGTATGCATATTTCTTTCTAGAGGTGAATTAGCAGTTAATCAGGACAGTAATACAAGTCTAGGGAGAGCCTTCAAATCCTCTTTGAAGATTCCGGCCCGCTGACAGACCATGCTGAGAAATTCCACCAGGTGGCGCTGCGTCCGCTGACGCTGTATTATCGGGAGAAAACGTGGAAAACAGAAGCCCACTGGTGGTCTTCCTAGCTCCCCACCCCCATTTCGACCCCCTACACCTACACACATTCCGCCTCTTTTTTGTCCTGAGTATCCTCCTCTTTTTTCCCACCTGGCCATCTGCCAAACCATCCCCCAAGTCTGGTGTTACTAAGAAGTGATTCACCCTCTAATTTCGGAGACCTAACTAGCAGGTGGGCAGTGGATAATTTTTTTTTAATTCTGCTTGGTGTTGTATGTCAGGTTTCGTTGGTGATGGAAAGTCATGTGAATGTTTTAGGAAAAGAGCAATATAATAAGGATTAATTCTGGGGAAAGCAGTACAGACACTTGGCAGCGCAGGGAAATAAAGCTAACTGGGGTTCTTTGTTATTTTTTTTCTTTTTATTTCTTTTTGGCCGTTTTCATTTTTCCAGCGGGTAAACTGGAAACAGTGAAATGGGCGTTCACCTGGCCACTGAGTTTCGTCTTATACTTCACTGTACCCAACTGCAACAAGCCGCGCTGGGAGAAATGGTTCATGGTGACGTTTGCTTCCTCCACGCTGTGGATCGCAGCCTTCTCCTACATGATGGTGTGGATGGTGAGTGCAATTGGGACCCCATGGCACTGTTAAACCTCTTTAGAGGAAAAAGAAAGGAATAAGAGTCAGGGTTTCGGCCTATAACTGTACCAGTCAGCTATTGCTACAATAAGCTGCACAACGAACCACTCCTAAACTTAGTAGTTTAGAATTGCAGGCATCGATTCTCCTGCTCACACCTCTTCAGGTTGACTGTAGATTTATCAATCTTAGCTGGGACTTGCTATGCAGCTCTCTCTCAGGCTTCAGGGTGGTCATGCTTGATTCAGGCAGCAGGTGGGGTCCATGTCTACTCCACGTGTCTGCTCATTTTCTTTGTACTAGAGGCTAGCTACCTGGGATATTCTCTTCTCACAGTGCATCATTAGAATACAAGAGAGTACATGAAAACACGAGATGCCTCCCTGGTCTTCTCCTGGCCCTGACTTACCATCATGTCCACTCACATTTTACTGGCCAAGCCCCACATCAATGGCATGGGGGAAATGTACTCCACCTGCTCCAGTGGGAAGAACAGCCATGTCTCAGGGCAAAGGACATGGAGGAAAGGCATGAAGAATTGGGAAATGGTGATCAATCCCTATCAGCATCTTAGTTTCTTCAACCAGCCAATGAGGCATTGCATTAGGTGATCACTCAAGGGTCCCTTCTGAGGCTAAAATAATGAGTCAGTGATTCACATTGGTTGATTGACATTGACTGACATTAGTTGATTGACATTGATTCAGTGGCTTTGACATTAACAAAGCCATTTTAGGAAACCCTGCCTTCCAGAATGCATTGCCCATTTATGGCTATACTTTTTAATGGGGGAGCAATTCCAAATCATTAGAATTGGCCAGAAATTAAAAGGCATGGCAAAATGATGCAAATCCAAATTAATCTTGCCTTGAGTGTTGGACAGAAATGCAATATAAATCTGGAGAATTAAACTCAAGAGCTAAAAAGAAGGTTCTGAAAAAGGTATTTTGGTAGGACCAAAAATACCCAGAAAAATTTTGTTACATGGATTGCAAATTGGTAAACCTGACACAACTAATTCATAATCTTCTCTTTCCTCAATATCACAAACATTTTTTTAAAACCCAAGGTTTATAGCCAGGGGTTTCTCCCTCATCCTGCATTCACTAATGTTTTTATCTGATATATGCACCAAGTGCCACCTCCTATCTGGGTTTGGGGAACAGTGTTGGCTGTCCCTGACCTTAAGGTGCTATGTGATTTTCTGTGCAGTCCCCTAACCAGCAGGCTAACTGACCTGACTCATCTGAGGTTCAACCTCCTTCTCTTTGCTTCCTTTCCCTCCAGCGGAGGTTCTAATAAGTCCCAATCAATGCCCAGGACTAAGGGAGAAAACTAGGAGAAGCCGGAGACCTGGTCCCAGCCACCTGAGCAGTCTGCTCCCCTGAACTCCAGACCGAGCCACAAATATGATTATGAAAATGATGAGCCGGAGGCCAAGCCTGGCTGAGCCAAACCAGATTCCTATAGGGACTGAGCTGAGGGTTAAAAAGGAAAAACAAGGTTTGGCCAGGATGCTGGTAGCTCCATTTGCTGCAAAGCAACAAAATAGAAACAGCGTGTGTTTCTGCAGCTCACTTTCCTCCCTGGAGACTGGAAGTCAGAAAGCCCTGTGGCCACCCCAGGTTCAATTCTGTTCAGTTCTGCTCAGTACTGAACAGAAATGAGCTGCATTCTCTGGTTTGAAAGGAGGCAAGACAGGCATCTCTATGGATTTCACTCACATCCCCCCAGTCTTTGAACAGGGAAGGAGGGATTATGGCCTTTGGAGTGAAGTCAGGGTTCTGGGTGCAGGTGTCTCTCAAGGGCTGGCCCAGGAGGAACTGTGAGAAGAATGTGCTCCTCACAACATGTGGTTTGCATTTCCTGTAGTTTTATGGAAAGTGGTATCCTAAAATGATCTAACAGTTTCAACTCTTGTGAGTTATCTTCTCCTTGGGCCCACGTGCAGGGAATGTGTCTCTTTTTCCACTTACCTCTTTTTTTTGCCACCAGCTCCCTCATCATCTGCCTCATCAACTGCTTTTGTTTTTTTAAGCATGCTTACGTTTGCCTTTTCTATATTTGCATAAGTTTAAGCGGTACAAGTGCAATTTGTTACATGGACATATTGTGTGATGGAAGTGACGAAGTCCTGACTTTAATGTATCCATGACTGAGATAATGTGCCTTGTACCCATTAAAGTAATTTGTCATCACCCACCCCACTTCATTCTGTGCTGAATTTAAACTGGGGTGGCCTCTGGCCTTCCTGACTTTCAGTCTCCAGGGAGGAAAATGAGATGCAGAAACACAACATTTCTGCGCCTGACCCTTCTGAAGCTCCATTGCCTATCATTCCACACCCATGTCCAAGTATACACATTACGTAACACCCACTTATGAGTGAGAACATGTGGAGTTTGACTTTCTGTGTCTGAGCTGTTTCACTTAAGATAATGGTCCCCAGAAGCTATTATGATGAAGATGGACAAGGACAGTAAATTGCTACCAAGCTTCAAGGAACAGAGAAAAGGAAATGCTAGTTATGGCTTTCTCTTTTTTTTTTTTTTTTTTTTTTTTTTGAGACAGGGTCTCACTCTGTTGCCCAGGCTGGAGTACAATGGCACTATCACAGCTCATTGCAGCCTGAACCTCCTGGGCTCAAGCCATCCTCCTGCCTCAGCCTCTCAAGGAGCTGGGACCACAGGCATACACCACCATGCCCAGCTAATTTTTAAAATTTTTTGTAGAGACAAGGTCTCACTATGTTGCTCAGGTTGGTCTAGAACTTTTGAACTTAAGCAGTCCTCTCAACTTGGCTTCTCAAAGTGATAGGATTACAAGCATGAGCCACTGTGCCCAACCTTAGAGTTACGCCTTTACTGACAAGTATGGATACTGTCAAATCCAGCCCCTTTGCAGTTCTTCTAAATTCCCATTATGCATCCCCCCTGACATGGACACTCAAATTCCAAGCAAAGCATCCATCCATTCTGGATTCCTCAGGGCCACCCGTAGTTCAAATATTCTGTCCCAATATTAAGAAATTCTATTTTCTCTTCTCAAACTACCCACCTCACCTGAAAGGAACAAGTGAAAAGACCAATGTTTTGTTGGAAAGCATGGTTCCTATTATAGCACTGTCCCCTGACCTGCAGCCCCCAGCCAGCATCCACATAGTATTGATACAGAGAGCAGACATTGCACCCCACAGAGATAGCCCAGATGGTACCCTGTTGTGAGTCTCCATCAGAAGAACCATGGGCAGGTGGGGCTTGAGGTGACCCTCAGCTCACCATCTCTTCCTGCTCCTTCTAGGTCACAATCATTGGTTACACCCTGGGGATTCCTGATGTCATCATGGGGATCACCTTCCTGGCTGCCGGAACCAGCGTGCCTGACTGCATGGCCAGCCTCATTGTGGCCAGACAAGGTGGGACTTCCAGTGGCAATGGGGAAGGAGGGAGGGAGGAAGGGAGGGAGGGAGGGAAGGAAGGCAGGAGGGAGAAGAGAAAGGAAGGAGGGAGAAGAGAAGAAAAGAGGGAGGGAGGGAGTGAAGGAAGGAAAGAGGGAAGGAAGGAAGGAAGGAAGGAAGGAAGGAAGGAAGGAAGGAAGGAAGGAAGGAAGGAAGGA